AGTTTTCTCCACTTTTTTCCACCATACTTCTGATTCACCAGGAACATGCATCTCCATACATTTGCAATTTCACTTCCATTGCCTGACTAGCCATTACTCTCTTACACCACTTTCACAGATTTTGTTGGTATCGTCATGAAGCAGACAGTCATCACTTAAACTAACCTTTCAGCTATCAAGTCAGTTTTGACAGAGATTTCTAGAAAATGCACTTCTTGCTTCAGTAAGCAGGGAAGGAAGGATGCAATGCCAGAGACACAAACTCTTCATTATGAAGATTCTCATACTGCTCCAACCTAGGATCTGGGGCTTTAAAACATGGACTTGTACAAACTCATACATAACAGTCAAAGCCAAGAAACAAAATTGTCACGTAAGAACAAGAACACAGACCACACACCACAGACTGGACATGAATACATAGTTGTTCTCTAACACTCAGGCCTCACTTCAGCATAAATTAGAAAACAAAGATAACATATTTTGTTACAGAAGTCGAGATGGTACCAAGGACTCCAACGCTGCAAACCTCAGCTACGGCTTGATGAACATGAGCAATGTCATGGCACAACACCACACAGCTTTAGCCAGGAACACAGCTCAGGTTACTGATACAATTTGAAGAGTCTCCTTGAACCATAAAGTCGTTTCCCACTTTGGCTAGACCAGTGGAGTCACATTGCCTGCTGTTATTAAATACCACATGCAAAGCATGGATTTAACGTGGGAGTCTGAATACAGAAGTTACCACAGAGGTTCATATACGACATTCATCTTGGCCTGTATCAAACACAATAAACAAAACGAATGGTTTACCCTCCCCAATGACTTGCCACTCAAGAGTCTGTACTAAAACACTAGAAGCAAAATTCCACCTTCAATAAAGTGAGATAGCCATATCTGAGTAAACAAAATGTGCAATTTTTTTCTCCCATTTCATGTTTTTGTTTCCTCCCCCTCCCCCCACAGTTCCTCATGACAATGCATTTCCAAATTTTTACTAAATCCCTTAGTGCAGTGTTTTACAACAACAAAACTATGCTCCTATGAATGTCCTGAAAGCTAAACCTTTATTCCTGCTTCTGAACCTGCTTCATAGGTTCTAGATACAGAGCAGTACTCCTCACTAAAAGACCTGTGATGCCTGTGATACTTTTTGAGGTGCTATCTTCTAAATCCTTCCAACAAACAACCTCCTCCAACATACCTCATTGCATATTGATCAAGATCCAATCTCAAATGCTACTCTGTCACCCTACCCCCAGCACAGAAAGGCCTTCCTCCTGCCCTGGGGCCATCTTAGGCTTTGATTAACCACCTCATCTGTCGTTTCTTCTCTCCTACTACAGCCCTCCATTTCCAAAAGTGAGAAACAGCAGAATATTGAACAGAGTGGCTACTATCAATCTTCTTCCCTGTAAAGAAAAGACGTGTTTTAATCCTACTGTTTTGTTTCATCATGACAGAGGATCACGTTTCCTTCTTACCTACAGACACTTTTCAAGTTGTTCACACCAAGTAACTTTAGCCTCTGGGGCAGCAGGAAGACCAAACTATCTGGGCTAACCCTGTACTCCTAATGAGTGAGTCATATGTCAACCTATGTTCCTCCTGAGAACTTCACCAGTCACCTGCTCCCTTGGAGAAAAACGTGCAGAAGGAAGCATACGTTTACTCAGAAAGAAAAACCAAAGTCGAGAGGCACAAAGACTGAGTGAGAGAGGAACCAGACCGCTACTGTTCAACTCTACCTCTCTGATAGCTGAATACTGACAGAAGAAATGTCAAATCAATTCTCCCATTCAGACAGCTAGATTAAGATGAGAGGAGGAAAATAAGGGAAGTTGGCTTTTTCAGTTAACCTTTATGTTTCCTCATTATCACGCTGCATGAAACTCTGCTGGTAAATTCAAAAGGCAACTTCTGTCTTAAAACACAATCATGTCAAACACAAAGTGAATTTTATGGCATACTTGTGATTAAATTACTGCTGCTTCATTCCAAGGGACCAAAACAGGAGACACTGATCACTAACAGTTAAGAAACCTTGCCTCCAGGAGCATCGCTAATACGTCAGATGAACAAGCGTCAAGTTAAAGAGACTGAAAACTAACATACACAAGTTCTTCTTTTTGAAATACTAAGGCATCAGAGAACACACCTGAAAATCCCAAACACTCCCACAGAATTGTTATTCCTACAGTCCATGCACTTTTAAAAGTGGAGCAGGGCTGAGACCACCAGAACTTCAGGATGTGTTTGCAGTACCAGAGATAAAAGGCCACATACCAGCTCAGTGCTGCACGCCACTGATGCCCAGCAGGAAGTTTTGGGTTACTACACAACTGCTGTCAGCACTGTCTAGAAATTGTTATAGCTGTTTATAAACATATATACATGCACACACACGCACATCGTTGGACATCCTGAAGTCTCCAACCTCCAGTTCTTTCGCAGGAGGAAGTTATTCTGGCTGATGCTGTTGCTGACATTTCTTGGTTATGAAAATTATTTCTTCAGTCATGCCACTAGGAAAGTCTCAAAGCATACACTTGTGTGCCTTAGTGACAAGGTCTGCATCTAGCAGAATTTCCTCTAAAATGCACCAAAGGTTCACAGTTTCTCTGTTTTTTGGTTGGTTGGTTTTCGTATAGTTTAAGCACATAGTTTTGTTTGGTTTTGCTTTCTAAATTCCTTTGAATTAACTGATTCAAACAAAATATAATTTTAGCATCTGTTCCAAGAAAACAACAGCAGCCACACTGGGTCAGACACAAGGCCATCTAGCCAAGCCTCTGACAATGGAGAAAACAGCCAAGAGCAGATGGCTAGAAAGAACGTCAAGAACAAAGCAAACAATGCTTCTCTCAGGTATTCTTCCATGTATAGCTTATTTGCTTCCTTGAGTTGGATGCAATATCCAAATGACTTTTCTTAATCATCAGACTGGAAAACTGGAAATATCAAATTAATTGCTGCTAGAATTTACATTAAAAAAAAATAAAATCAAGTCTGACAACTTTTGCATGCCCATTTTACAAGGCTTGCGGATAAGAATATGAAAGATTTAAATTAGACTAAAAAGCTGATCTTTCCAGGATAAGGATGGGTGTGAACATAGAGCCGAGAGAAGACTCCCACCTAGAATAGCTCATTTGCTTTTCAGACTTAGCTTGGCAGAACATGCACATTTCCATGGCTTACTGAGCAGTAACAATACAGCAACGTACACTCTAAACCTTTTAGCATACAGTTTTAACCATTTCTGGAAAAAATGAGAGATATTTCTGAATAATAGGTCAAGAAGTAATGCGAGATCAACAGTGACGAGTATCACTGATACATATTTTAAATAATTCAGATCAGCACTTGAACTGCTGTAGTATTAATATCCGCATACACTTAACCCATAATCCATCACCCGCTACTGTGGATAAACTCATCTATCACTCAAGTGGTCTTTTCCAACTTCAATGATTCTACGATTCTATTTTATGAAGTCTAATACTGTTATAAAAAAGAAAAAAACATTGTATTATATTAATGTTTACTTCATTACAGCCAAATACCTAATCCATGTCAGATAAAACCTTCCAAACAGAACATAAAATACGGATGACTTCCACGGAGGTAACAGTGCTCAAAATAACATTGATAAGAGAAAAGAAAACTAAACAAAAGGCAACCATGACATTCACATACAGAATACAACATGGAGTACAAAAATTAGACCATGCACTCATGGAATCACAAAGGTTGGAAAAGACCTCCAAGACCATCCAGTCCAACCACCCACCTACCACCAATATTTCCCCAGTAAACCATGTTCCTTAGTACAAGGAACGTAGTACAACTATATACAAGTACAGTTAACCTTGTATAACTGCATTTTGCTGGAGCACGGGGCTAATGCAGCAGTTATAGCCAAGCACTCCCTCATTTCCTAGTTCTAACATTCTCAACTGCTGCGTTACAAGTAAGCATAAGGGACTGCTGGGGCACTGCAGGGCTAAGACAGACATCTGGCGTTGGCACTCAGTATTCAAGAAGGTAAGACAGGTGCAAACATTAAACTGTAATTCTGTCATACTGTGGTGCTAAAGCATTTCTGATCTCTGATCTTTTATTTCTGGAACTTCGACCCTTCTGCAGGAGCACAAGTCAACAGTGAGACCACCCAAGAGCCAGCACCTTTGGGAGGCAAGGGAGAGGACACCAAGCTCAACACTAATCCCCAACCAGAAAGGAGAGCAGGACCACGCATGACAGTGCTCGCAGTGCTGGATGCTTTTCAACTGGCTCTGCCTATGTGGATCCAGAAGTCCTGCTGAGGATCGGGAAACAGCAGGAGCTCTCAGCATGGGGTGCGAGGGAACCCAGACCACCAGGAAGCGACCATCTCTGACCTAGCATTCCAAGGAAGGAGCCACCTGGGTGCTTCATCTGGCTGGCTAAGATGCAGCTCTGGGGCTCCTCCAGCTTCCTGCTCCAGCCTCAGCTATGTTATATAGTAATACACTGCAATTATAGGCGTGAAATGAACATAAAAATAAAGAGGCAGATCAGCACAATGGAAATCCTCTTGGTGAGACAGGACTTCGGTGGAACTACTGATAGAGTTTGCATCACAGTAACAGACTGAGAAACGCAAAAAAAGTAAAGCGAAAGTAGCCAGATCTCCTACACGTCTCCTCCTCGCCCTCCAAGAAGTCTCCACGCAACTCTTTAGCAGTTTCGCTCCCCCTCTTCCTCCTTCTCAATTCCTGGCACAGGAAAAGCCATGTTGGACTAGATTGTGACACGAAGTGACACAGCAAGAGAACTTCCCTCCTCGGCGTCCCGAGGCACAGGGAACACGGCGGGGCTGCAGAACGCACCAGGTGCCGCTGAGGAACCGTCCCGGGCGGGCGGCGGGACTCAGTTCCTGCCCTTACAGCCTCGGCAAGCCTTAGTCTCGCACGAGAGAAAGCCCAACCCGCCCACACAGCCCCCGGGCCCACCTGCCGTGTCCCAGATGGAGATGTTGTACGGCCCCCACTGCTTCAGGTAGAAAGCGCCGCCGACAGTGCTGACGGTGTCCTGGAAGCGCCGCTCCATATAGCGGTGCAGCAGCGAAGTCTTACCCACGTTCATGTCCCCCAGCAGCACCACCTTCCCGTCCGGCTTCTTCATCGCGCCGCCGGGCCCCGGAAGCGGCGGGACGAAGGCGGCCCCGCCGCGGGCAGCACCAACTCGGGGCTCCGCCGGAGCCGCCGCGATCCGGCCCCACTGCGCGGCCGCCCGCGCTGCTCCTCCCACTGCCCCCGGCCCGGCCCGGCCCGGCACCGCTCCTCCCCCGGCCGGCGCCAGGGGGAGGGACCCGGGCGAGAGCTGCGTGGCCCCGGGCCTCGGGATCGGCCCGGCCGGGAGATCGCGTTGTCCCGCAGGCTTTCGGCCGGCCCGGGGGCACGGCTGCGGCCGCCGCATCCCCACGGAGCCAGCCAGCCCCTCCTGAACCGGCCCTCCTCCTGCCGGCAGCTCGGGAAAACTTCCTGAGAGGACGTGGTGGGGCTGGAGGAGCGGGGAGGGGAAGCAGCTGTCAGAGCGCAGAGTAGCAGAGTTACTAATCGATCGGCTGCCGATCACCTCTTGGTACCGCTCTTTCGAATGGCAGGCAGCCGTGCAGAAAGAGAAAGCAGGGAGCCCGTACCAGCAGAGGGATCCTTGCTGTAATTCCTACCTCATGCGTTGATTTACTGTCCACGTAATAAAAAAAGACCTAAAACTCTGCTATGATTATTGATTTACAGCACTGCTTCCGCTACTAAGCCATGGCGTTTGGAGCACTTAAAGCAATCATCTCCGTATTTTAGCAAGGTTCTGCTGTACTTGAGTTGCTACTGATGCAGTGCTGAAATGTAGCTCTTTGTTGTGCTGAGAACAGATATCAGTAGCTTCTTACGGCAATACAGAAAAGTTAGGGCAGAAAACAGGTGCAACAACAGGTTTTTTTAGTTAATAATAAATAGTGTGTACTATAGAAAGGGAACACGGTGTCCTTAGCAAATGTTTTCTGCAGTGTCTTGAAACAGAGACCTGTGTCCCTGCGCTTTTGAGCGTGTCTGTTTCAGGCTAACAGGAGTCTGTCACAGTGAGGACTCCTGTGAGTGTCACCAGTAGCTCCCAGTGATAACGTTACTTTTGTACGTTCACCATAGCCTAGATAAAGGAGACTACAGATTGAGGCAGCCCAATGGGCCTGGCACCACAGCACTTGACTGGCTGAGCCAGGGATGCACCTTACCGTGCTGCTATCCACTTTCCATGCACTGCTTGCTTCAAGGCTCGTCTCCATTTCACAGGAATTTGCCACAAATAATAGGCTGCAACAGGGTCAGAGAGTACTGCACATTGTTTCAGATCCCTAGGAGGATTTAGGAGAAAAAGCTGGTAATGTGGGCATGTTCCCAGTACGCAGAAGTGTTCCTGAGGTCAGGTTGTAAAGTCCTTCCACCAGCCTGGGGAGAACATGTTCACAAGGCCCAGCACAGTGCCCCATAAGAATGCTCTCCAATCTCCAGTGGAGAATTTAAGTCGTATGTTGTTCAAGTCAAATAGCTCATGATACACTGTAATGCAATATAGATAATAACAGAGCTTGGGTGACAATATTTGGGGAAAAAATAAGAGCCTGTAATTTGCTCTCTAGCCTTCCGACATATAGGCTTGTTGCAAGATGATTTCCCAAATCTTTGAGTTTTCCTGAGAGCTCCCCATGGTGATAAGTATGGGCATGAAGAACATAGAAAGTTACTTGACAGGAAATCACGTGGAACACATTCCTGTTTGGATAGCAGCTCACCTAGGCAGGCTGTGGGTGTTGTCTGGGGCTTTGTTTTGGTTTGGTTTTGGTTTAGAGCACCTGAGGACACCATGTAATTACAGCGAGGCTGCTCATTATCCTTCCTGGCAATGTGGCGATGTGGCCACCATGTTTGGTCTCCAGATGGTTTGGAATTCAGACACTTGGGACAGCTTATGGAGGTGGGCGGCACACTGCATCCTCTGACCAATTTCTGTGCTAAAGTAAAATCCCTTCGAGAACAGGAAGGTCAGCCTGTGTGCCAGCCAAAAAACCTGAGCCAAGAATCACTGTAGTGGCACAGAGCAGCTCAGCCTTTCTAGTATCCTGCAGTCTGAAAGCTGCCTAATTTTGCTGGAGAAAATTAGAGCCTGTTTACTTGCTCCCTTGCTACATTTCCCTGTGTATATTCATATGTCCCTGAGTATGTCCCTATGGCAGGACATTGTCCTTCCCACAGGCCCCATTTGGTCTCAGGGCGACAGGTGATTTGTAAGTTCAAATGAGGTGAAATGTTTGTCACAAAACAGGCTTGGTTTTTGCTGAGCTGACCTTCTTTTGGGGACAAATTGAGCAAGTGGTGGAAGGTATTTGCTGCGCCAGCTACAGTTCAAGTGCCCCAGCACGTCACAAGTGTGCTGGGATCTTGCTGTTAAGCACCTGTGTCTATCTCTGTTTTCCTTCCTCTCACTGTGCCTCTGTCTCCTTGAGATGTTGAATCCCACCACCAGCATGGAAATATTGCAGGGGAGTTGAATGGGACTGTTTGTAATGATAAAGGTGGTGCTGACAGAAACACTCTGCTCTTTAAACACAGACAAATCCATACAGCAGGGATATGTGCCTCGGTTATTCAAAGAATGCTAGCCCAGGAGGAGAGCAATAAGGAAGGCCTGGTCCTCAGTGTCAGATGGTGGTGGCACTCTGCTTTGTGAGCTGCCCCTTGGTGAGGTATGAGGGCACTGCATGACCAGGAAACAGCTGGAATTTTTTGAAGCGTGGCAATACCTGGCTTTGTTTGTGCTTAATGTCTTCCTTTATGACTTCTTTATTTGAAATGAGCAAATAAGTGTTCATGCTCATTAAACATAGGCATTCCCACTCGTCATCCCCTGAGCAGCCCTAAATACAGCTCTCTCTCAAGACACTCTCTTTTAAGCTGCAAAGCCCAAGAGAACCATCCATTGCATTGCACTGACCCATGTATTTATCCTTAAATAGACTAGATTCATGCTCTTCACTCCATGGATCAGTCCACAGCTGCCTTCCCTCATCAAGGCACATTACTTCATAAGAATAGTTAGCCCGCTTTCTTTATGTTTGCCTCTTTTCTCACTTCCCTTTTCCCTCCACTTTCCTTCTTTTGAGGCCACCAAGGTCCAGGTGGACACCACAGCCTAGTTTCTCAGGATATGTTCCAGCTCTGCCCCGCTCCCAGCCACTTGTCCTCCAAGCTCCTCAGCTGCAGGGTCGCTTTCTGTCAGAAGTGGAAGGAGTGTGTGGCTGCCTGGCAGCATCTGAATCACGGCATATTGGAATAAGGACTGTGAGTCAACAAGTTTGTCATGGAAGATCCTGATTTAATGATTAGAATTTGTATGTGCTAAAAAAAAAAAGCTAAAAAGAAAGCCTTATATGAGAAGCATGAGGCCACTTCAGCTGTACGGTCGCTGAGATGTAAATTCTGCCCTGGGGCTCAGGTAATAGAGTTGCAGACAAGACCAGGGACTCAGAAGGAACTTCCCACCCTATTACCTCAGTCAGAAAGTAATCAATTGTGTTCCAAAGTGCTTGCACAGCCAGCAGTTCTGGCAAGTGTGCATTATGTGAGTTTGACATACACTTCTGGTTTCTGACTGCAGCATTTAAAGATCTCAATGAACTCCACTAGCATAGGATAAACAAAGTCTACCTTACTACTGTATTATTCTAGAATTCAAGAGGGCAGTGTGTGTGTAAGGGAACAGAAATTCACATGCCCATAAGAAGTCACAGAAGTATGCCTATTAAAAGAAGACAAGGTGAGGGAGCTGGGCTTCTTCAGCCTGGAGAAAAGAAGGCTGCGGGGTGACCTCATTGCAGCCCTTCAGTACCTAAAGGGAGCCTACAAACAGGAGGGGAGTCAACTCTTTGAAAGGGTTGATAACTGCAGGACAAGGGGAAATGGTTTTAAGTTGAGGGAGGGAAGATTTAGGTTGGATGTCAGGGCGAAGTTCTTTACAAAGAGAGTGGTGAAGTGCTGGAACAGGCTGCCCAGAGAGGCTGTGGATGCCCCGTCCCTGGAGGTGTTCAAGATTGGATGGGGCCCTGGGCAGCCTGGGCTAGTATAAAATGGGGAGGTTATTGGCCCTGCATGTGGCAGGGGGGTTGGAGCTTGATGATCCTTGAGGTCCCTTCCAACCCAAGCCATTCTATGATTTTTTGAAAAGATTTCTTAGGATTTTTCTCTTTCCAGCATCATGAAAGCAACAAGTTAGATGATAGAAGTAAAACTGATTTTGATCTACTCCTTATAAAATCTTCAATATGCTTATATCTTGTTCATGACAAACAGGTCCATATCTACACAGAATCATAGAATCCTTAGAGGGAGGGATCTTTAAAGGCCATCTAGTCCAGCTCCCCTGCAATGAACAGGGACACCACAGCTAGATCAGGTTGCCCAGGGCCTGGTCCAGCTTCCCCCTTGAAAGTCTCCAGGGCATCAACCACATCGCTGGGCAACCTGTTCCATTGCCTCACCATTGTCACTGTAAAAGACTTTCTCTTTATATCTAACTCTAATCTACCCTCTTTTAGCTTGAAAGATCTACTTGAAGACCTACATGAAGACCTACACACCTCAGCAGCATGCTGGTGTGAATCTGAGTGCAGGCCTGACAGAATTAGATGCCACAAGCCCAGAGACCAATAATGACATGAGCCTAAATGAATGTAACCTGTGAATCTTAAATGTAAAGTTATTTTTACAGTACAGGCTTCTGGCAGTTGGAAAAGCTTTTCTTTTTCATTTGCAATACTGTCATATTATACATATTATCATTATACTTCAATTCTAAGTCATTTCTTCAGGCTCTGAGCCATAGCCACTGTGCTTGTCTATGAAGAAATGGTTCCAAGCTCACCAGTGCTGCTGCTTGAATGGCGCTGAGGAGTGTCACAGACACCACCTGAGGGCAAAACCAAGTCCCACCAACAGTTATGCTTCCTCCACCCCTGTCCACATTGCTACATTTTTTTCCTCTGGTCTGGATGAGCTGTGATTACTTTTTCCCTTCCCCTTTGAACTGTCGCCCACCCAGAGTGCAGAGTGAGTGTGACTTCTCCTCTGGGCACTTGCTAAAGGTGAGAATTCGATTGAATTTGGCACTGAGGAGAAGCTGTTCTCTTTTTACATAGAAAGATAACATTGTAACATTTGAAGTGTAAAGTGATCATGTGAA